GCTTGCAGGGACGTGTAGCTTTCCTTAACATAGAGAGCTACCCCCCCGCCCCTTTTCTCTACATGATCCCTCCTGTACAGGGTATAGCCATCTATCCCCGTGGTCCAGTCATGGGTGGAGTCCCACCAGGTCTCCGTTATCCCTATGACATCGTAATGGTTTGCACTGAGCAGGAGGATGAGCTCCTCCTGCTTATTCCGCAAGCTCCTGGCATTAGTGTACAGGCAGGCAAGTGCCCCCTGGGGGCCGCAGAGCCCGGAGCTGCCTCAGCCAGTTCCTGGGCAAACTCACTGTCGGCAGGAGGGAAGAAGCCGGCCGCAGTGCCTCCAAGTCAGGGAAGCTGGGATGGTTCCAGGGACACCAATTCCTCGAGCAAGGACATGCTGAGCAGACAGGGCATGTTCCACAGCAGCCACCCCAGCCCCTCTCCATCATCCCAGTCAACTATTCTGCCCTCACTGCTACTGTCTTGCATTGAGGATTTGGCCACGAGATCTCTCAGTCCCTTGTGCAGCCATTTCCAGAGCCCCCTGCCGGAGGACCACTGTGGCAGACCTGCTTTCACCATAGTGCTTTGGCCCAAGAGGTCTCTCTCTTGAAGTGTATGGACCCAGCTCCGAGCTGACTCTGGGACGGCAGGGCTGGGGAGGAAAGCAATGGGCAGCACTGTTGCAGCCCTAGATTCAGGGAGGGGCCAAGGTCTGTCCAGTTACATGTCTTAGCTCAACTGCCCGAGACCCGGCTGTGCCTAAAGCACAGGTCCCACCAGCAGCTGGAAGCAGGGGACATGCTCCAGTCCCATCTCCAGGTAGGGATGACAGGAGGCAGCATGAACTATATCATGCAGGTGCTCATCTCTCAGTGCCAGGGAGGCCTGGCTCAGTTGGCACTGTGCTGGCTTTGCCCCTCCAGGGAACAAGTCTGGAGCAAGCGACTCCTACCTGCTGGGAGCCCCGGCACACCATACCTTTTGCTAACCTAGCCAGCACCAGTGTGGCAGTCACATGGAGCAGCGCAGGATGGAGCCAGGCTGGGGACCCTGACCAGCACCCTACTGCTTCACTGACCCACTGGGAAAGAAAGCCTCATGAGCAAGAAAGGTGCCAAGTGTGATCTGCCCTAGCAGGAGCAGGCCCCACGCAGCAGGGACAGCAACACCCGTTTCTGGAGCCAAGGGAACACAAGGCTGCAGCATCGCAGGCATCAGCCACAGCTGCTCTGTGAATCCAGGCAGGTGACAGCCTCTAGCAGCCGGTCCTTCCTGCACCACGGGTGCACGGCCCCACACTGCCCTTCTCACCCTTGTACTCTAAGTGCGTCACGCGCCCCTCCACCCCACCTGCCTGAAACTTCCCCCCACACCCCGAGGCCAGCACAGAGACAGACCCGTCTGCCCCAGCACCATGGCCTGCCCTGCCCAGGGAAGGGGCCCGCCCGGCTGCTGTGGCCTGCGCTTGGGAGATTAGCCTCAGCCTTGGCCCTGCACAATCAGCCCCTCCCCTCAGCCTGTCTACAAAGGGCTCAGGCCAGACTCTGGCTTCACCCATCAGCACACTGCATCCTGCAGACATCCTCCAACTCCAAGCCTGCTCTCACAAGAACAGCTCTTCAAGCCCATCCCGAGCAGGCTGCCCGACACCTCCGCCCCGGACAACATGGGGCCAGACCTCCCAGAGAGCTCAGGTCCTTCGCAGGCAACTTCCAGACAGGCTCAGAGCCCGAGGGCCGAGAACTTCGAGCCCCTGGGCCAGCGCTCACAAAGGACACTTGCCACAGGCTCGAGGCAGGTCACTTGCACAGCAGGGATGTTCGAGAACTCAGACAGGAGCCTGGGGGGTTAGGGCTATGGCCAGGATCATGGCCTCATGTGGGCAGCCCGACCTGCAGGCGCACAGAGCATTTTCACACCGGTTTCTCAGCTGGTTCCTGACTGGTGACAACGCTGCTTCTAACACAAGACGGACTTGCAGACTTGTTCCAGGCTCCTCGGACAGAAGATATGGGGGGCGTGGGGGTCTCCACCGCAAGGGGCAAGTGGGACGACAGGTGTCAACGCACTCACTAACGTGGCAGGGAAGGAACCAAGGGCTGGAGGGTGCAGCTGGGCAAACCCACGCTGGAAACTAGGAAGGCTGTTAACAACGAGGAGGAACCTACCTGGGAAGGCTCGCCATCCCCTGGAGCCTCCCGATGCAGCGCTGGCCAAACCCAGCTGCCTGGGGGCCGCGAAGGGCTGCCGGGGTGAATGGCTGATCGGTCCCCTTTGGCTCTGAACCCGTGAGCCCAGGGACACTGCTGCCCCACCCCCCCGCGCCTCCACTAAGGCTGGGCCCTTTTGTGCAGGGAGCTGCATGTACCCACAGCAAAGGCGACCGGGCCTCGGACTGTGATCGGCACAGGGGACAAGCAGCAGGAGCACCTACGGATACAGGTGGGCCGTGGGGCGGGGCGGGGCGGGGCGGGGCAGGGCAAGGCAAGGCAGGTGTCGGGGCGCGGATGGGGACGGGGACGGGGACGGAGGGCCAGGCCGGTGCCGGGAGCGGCGCGCAGGGGGGCTCACGGAAGGGGT